CTATCTATCTATCTATCTATCTATCTATCTATCTCTATCTATCTATCTATCTATCTATCTATCTATCTCTTCTACATCTCCCTCATACACACACACACACACACACATACACACACACACGCACGCACACACACACGCACGCACGCACACGCACACGCACACACACGAGCTTGCAGAGAAAGAATATTGAAGCTTGCAACAAGTGTCTACATTTCCAATAAAGTCATCGCTTTTCTAATTTTCTCTCACCATGATCCATATCTTCAATTCTATGTCCAGGTTCTCCTCTTCTTGATCCTCATCCTCCTCCTTCTCCTCCTCTTCCTCCTCTTCCTCCTCTTCCTCTTCCTCCTCCTCCCCTCCTCCTCTTTCTCCCCCTCCATCATCTCCACCCCTCCCCACCTACCATCACACACCTCCCCCTCCCAAAATCCAGTTCTTCTTAGACCCCCTTCCCCCATCTATCTAACATCCACTCCTCCTCCTCCTCCTCATCATCATCATCATCATCATCATCATCACCACCATCATCATCATCATCATCAGCATCAGCATCATCAACATCAGCATCATCAACATCATCAGCATCATCATCAAGACCACCTTCTTAATGAGTAATCAGGTGAAATCAGCTGATATGAAAACTGTTCATGTAGAGACACGGGTCTTATGGCCATCGTATGCCTGAACACTGGGTGCAGTAATGCTGTTTCAACAATCTTATTATATTGTCTATTTGCAGTAAAACATGATCTTTTATGATATCTAATTTAAACAACACGATTTTCATGTGTATATAAGTTTTAAGCTCCCCCCCCCCCTGTCGGTATAACTTAGATAATTAAAGAGGCGGGCTTCGATATTGTATGCAATGGTCATTCTAGGCTGAGAGGAATTCAACATTTCAGCAGAAGGACCGACATCCTAAAATATTCTCACCAAACGGGAATCAAACACGGAGTCACCTGTGTGCGATGGCGAAGTGCCAAACTGGTACACCACAGACGCCCATATGTATTTTTTTTTACATAGTATAATAATCCATAATGTGGTGTCTACTTTATCAACAAGATTTCTTCCTGGAAGTGAAAATCTGATAGTCTGTTTTGCAAAGGGATACAAGAGGGAAAGTCTTTCAAACAAAATTGCTCTTTCCACTTCAAAAATACAAAGCAGTTCGCCATGGTATATTCTTTTAGAATGCATACAGAGCAATACGCGGGTACCAATTGTTGTCAAACGAGGGGTGCTTCTTTTCTTTTCTTTTACTGAAACACATTTGAAATTAGGAGTAAAACAGGCTCCAAAAAAGAGGTTTAGATCCTTCGAAGTTAGATAAGAGCTAAAATCAATGGTTGTCTCCCATCTCTGAATACGGAAGGACTTCATTATGGACTCTGTCAGCAACAGTCACTTTCAAAGGGGAATAACACATATAAACCACATCTCCAAAATGAGATCTTCACTTCAATATCCTTATCTTCATTCCCTCTGACAATTTCGTCATTATTTGTTTATTTGTTTGTTTGTTTGTTTGTTGGGGTTTATTTTGGCTTTATTTTGTTTTGTTTGTTTGTTGTTTGTTTTTTAAATTTTTGTTGGGGGGGGGGGGTGTCTTGTTGTTGTTGTTTTGTTTTTGTTGTTTTTTTCGTATCAACTTTATCTCAAATCTCGGGCAAGGCATATTAAAGTAACATAATGAAAATTATTGCTTGAGGTGTGCTCATGGCTGTACGTTTTCATCGAGGCGATACTTGTTTTATAAATCAATAATAAGGGGAGATAGTTTCAAGATATCAAACTTTTTAATCAGGTACGAAATAAATATTCTATTCTTAATAGTATCTGGAGAAGTAAAATATTTTATCTGCAAGATCCTTTAAAAATGTGGATTCCAGTATCATCCATGTTGTAACAAATGTTAGAATCTAATGATGTGCATTTGTACCTTAGATATTCTTCACTAAAAAATAAAATAAATCTGCCACCTTACATAAACTATGTACTTGGGCGTGTGTGTATGTGTGTGTGGGGGGGGGGGGTGCGCTCGTCTATGAGAGAGAGAGAGAGAGAGAGAGAGAGAGAGAGAGAGAGAGAGAGAGAGAGAGGGAGAGAGAGAGTGAGAGAGAGAGAGAAGGGGGGAGTGTGTGTGTATGTGTGTGTGCGTGAGAGAGAGAGAGAGAGAGAGAGAGTGTGTGTGTGTGTGTGCGTGCGCGCGTGTGTGCGTGTGTATGTGTGTGTATACAACTACTTGTTTGTGTGTAAATAATGTAAGTTCGTTTGTGTGTGTGGATGGGTTTGCGAGCAGACTATGATTGAAGAGTTGTCAAGGCATGCCCATTGAGGTGTTGCATGTGTACAGCAATCTGCAATTCTTTTTTTTTTTTTCATGGACCAACTTTTCAACCTCAGCAGAAACGAGTAAAGTAAATATAGAAGCACCAGATAGTTTACAGTAATACTATTAGTGTAAACCCTCTCTGGAAGCACCATGGAAAATATTTTAATTATAGATTACAACTTAGATTACAAGAAGTCGGAAGATACACTATCATTCTCCCCTGCATCTGTACTCATCACATCTTAGAATCAACAAGCAAAGTCCTATTTCAATCTCATCTTATTATTATTATTATTATTATTATTATGTTGCTGTTGTTGTTGTTGTTGTTGTTGTTGTTGTTGTTGCGGACTTCAGTAAGGTGATTCGTTTGATTCCCGGAGTCACAGGCAATAATCATCATGTTTTAGGTGAATATAAAGGTTTGGAAGTTTTTCCTCACGTTTTGACCGTATTTGATAATAAGACAATCTTTCATATTGGGAGACAATTTTGAGATAATCAAATTTTGAAACAAGTAAAGATTATCATGTGTTTTATCATTGATTAAAGTAGCGTCAAAATTGGATCTAAGCAATCTTATAAGTAATTAGGTCCATATTGTAACGAATCAATAAGTTCGACTGAAAGCGGTTTTAGTAACTTTTTGGGGTGCTTCTTTTTATACCCTACATTGTGGGTTATATGAACGTTGAATTAGAATCTATAGACATTGAATGGATGTCTCGATAAACCCATTTTAAATGGTGAGCTCAAAACACAGCGGAATAATATTGTTTTCATCCGAGCAAGTACACGCCTTATAGTTTCAAATGCCACATTGACGCACTGTAACTTAAAATGTCCCATTGCAACTTAAAGTGCCTTCTGGTAACATAGAATATTCAAACATGAACATAATATTATAAACTTTAAATCTAACAAAGTCACAATCCAAATGCCACACCACAACTTAAAATGTAACATCGAACAAAAGGAGAGTGAAGGAGAGGCAAAAATAGAGGATTGTAGGAATGTGGGAATGTAAGGTGAACAAAAGTTTAGCAGTGAAAGATACATGAAAATAGACATACATGCCTATGAAGGCTGCACCCCTCTTAGAACGGGTTGAGCGTGCAAGCTCCATGAAATCCCCAACTTTCTCATGTGTTTCATAAAGACGTTCATTGTCTTCATGACTTGTTTTCGAATATTGGGACTGGCATTATATAAATTTTTAAAGAGTCTAAATCCCTAGCCCTTCTCTTGCTCTTGAGTTTGTGTTTGAACGTAAGTTTCAATAGGGTATCCCCGTGAAAAAAAGCGTTTGGGCACTCAACAATAGTGTAGTTTAGAGCTTATAGGCACCAACAATACTGTAGTTTAGAGTTTATAGGCCACAACAATACTGTAGTTGAGAGCTTATAGGCACCAACAGTACTGTAGTTGAGAGCTTATAGGCACCAACAATATTTGAGAGCTTACAGGCACCAACAATACCGTAGTTTAGAGCTTATAGGCCACAAAAATACTGTAGTTGAGAGCTTATAGGCACCAACAATACTGTAGTTGAGAGCCAATAGACACCAACAATATTTGAGAGCTTACAGGTACCAACAATACTGTTGTTTAGAGCTTAAAGGCACCAACTATAGTTGAGAGCTTAAGCACTAAAAAGAATTTAAAGCACATCTAAATTTAAATTGCATGCACATTTGAACTTAACAACAATGTCATATTTGAAATGGAAAATTGCACACACATGACGTCATAATGAAAAGCTGCCTAATATATTTCATAAGTTATAATGTGGCACTTCATCTTACAACGTGGCATTTTAAGTTAAAATGTAGCATGTGGCAATATTAGGTGTAATTTGATACGGAAAAAATATATAGTACAGAAAAAATTCGCGGTGCCGCATATCCTCAAATAGATCTACCTCTTTAACGGGTGAATCAATTCACACATACTTTACACAGCACTTTCTATTAATTTGTCGTAACTTAATCATATTTTCCCACAACAATTGAGGCTAAACTAAAACTCCTTTCTTCATAAATTTATATAACATACTATAAATCTCCGTAACGCGAAAAATGGGATTGTTCACAGCATTTCCTGCTTCTCAGAAACATTTAGCATACGCATAATCAAATGATGTAATCAGATGGAATCAGGCGCTCATCCGTTTTAAATATTTTTTTGGGGGGTATGTCTTTTCCGGCGCTCGCAACTGCATAAGGTCATGTAAGCGCGCTGGACACATTAAACATTTTCAGTTGGTAGGAAATTTTGACTTTGTCCCGGGTGGCGGCCGAAGACTACTCTTATCGATCTTGGACCACGAAGAGATCTTTGACGTGCGCAACTTGCACACGGGACCTACGAAAATGTTCGCCCTTTTCCCAGAAGGTATTAGATCTTACCTACCCTAAGATTAGGGATGTGGCTGAAAGACAGCAGTAAGAAGGAACCAAGGAGTAGATCTAGCAGCAAAAAGGTTGCAGAAAGAGTCAGGAGTCCAGAGGAGGGGGCAAAGAGGTGAGGGGGTGGGGGCAGAAAATAGGGACGAAAGCAGACGACAGAACAATGCAAGAGAGCAGGAAAGAGGTTAAAGGAGATAATTTTAGAGACACAAATTTTTCCGTCACTACCCGGATTCGAACCCGGGACTTTTGAATGAGAGTCGAACACCTTTTTTGGCATATAGAGTTATCAATATTAGCTTGTTCATTTGTTTGTATTTGGCGAACAAAATACCTCTCTATCTTGAATTGAAGTCGAGATGTTTGAGATTAAAGGTGGTGGGGTCGCCTGGTATGAAAGGTAGAAATAGTTTTTTTATTGGGGTGGGGGGGGGGGGGGGGCTCTCGTGGTCTAGAGGTCATGGTGTTTGTACCCCATTCAATAGGTCCCGGGTTCAAATCTGGACAGCGACGGAAAATTTTCTTCTCTAATATTTTCTCCTATCACCCTCTTTCCTGTTCTCTAACCATTCTGTCGTCTGCTTTGGTCTCCACTTTCTGCCCTCTCCTCCTCTCCCCTTTGCCCCCTCCTCCGGGCTCCTGACTCTTTCTGCAGCCTTTCTACTGCTACTCCTCGGCTCCTTCTCACTGCTGTCTTTCATCCACATTCCTGATCTTAGGGTGGGTAAGATCTAACACCTAGCCTTCTCGGATAACAGTGAAAAATATCGGAGGTCTCGCGTGCAAGTTGCGCACGTTAAAGATTCCTTGGTGGTCCTAAATTCGGTAGGAGCAGGTTTCGTCCTCCATTCGGGTGAAATTCAAAATGTCCTACCAACTGAAAAATGTTTAATGTGGCCCTCGCGCTCATATGGCCTTATGCAGTTGCGAGCGACGTAAAACACTTACCAAAATAAAAAAGACTTGGTTTTAAAAGCGATATTGCCCCAGCTATAAGGCTTTAAAAATTTGTTGAAACCACTCACTTGGATTTTTTAATAGTATCTATTAAGGAATATTCTATAATAGAGCAAATATAATATGTTTACAAAAATTGTGATCTGTTAAGACAAATTATTGGTACACACCATTGTGCAAAAGCTGGAGGGTCTATGTTCAATTTGACAATAATTTTGAGCCACTAATTTTTTACCCCTCTACGGTAAATTGCGTCTTGTTTTCTGATTAGTGCGGGAAAGGTTATCGCTACAAATGTGGTATGTGTTTATGAGTACAATAATGTACTAATGTTGTCTTACAGAGCGATAAATTCACATTCATGCACGCAGACGCATACACGCACTCACGCGCGCACGCGCACACACACACACACACACACACACACACACACACACATACATAATACACAAACACAGACATAAATACATACGCACACACACACACACACACACACACACACACACACACACACACACACACACACATACGTGCACGCGCGCGCACTCACATGTTCAAACCATAGAAAAAAACGACAGTTAAGACTTTTATTTCCATGCACATATAACTTTAATGTTTGTTCCAGCAAACCAAGAACAAAATTTATTTTCCCTTCTGCCTTAGAGCTTCAGCGTATGAAATGGGAGACTTTTCGTTCGTCTTTTTTTAGTTTTCTTTTGCTTTGTCTTTCGTTCGTTTATTGGCAATAACAATAGTAAAGACTGCGAATTCAGAATTGTATAAATGAGACTATCACCTGCCAAATATTCAGAGATCAAAAGACTTCCTCGCAGTTTTCGATGTACTTAGCCATACATTGTGATTAGTTTCAATTCACGACATTATCTTAAGGCAGCCTTGTTATTCTCTTGATCCAGTCGAGGGAAGAGGCCACTTCTGTGACGTAGAAGTTAAATCTGCCGTTGTTGCACAAGTTGAAGGGAATGACGCCACGAACAACCCAGTTCACGCCATTGGAGCACAAGATGGGGCCTCCTTCGTCACCCTGAAAGAATTAGTTTCTTAAGTTAGGTTTAGTGGGAGTTTTACAGCACTTGCAACACAATAGCGTCTTAAGAGTGCCGAAGACTAAATGTGTTACAAGAGAGTGATATACAAAGAAAAGAATGGGGGGAGGGAGGTGAGCGCGATAGGTGTTCGATTGGAAAGAAGGCGCTAACCGCACCAGAGCACACGCAAACCACCCTCAGGGAGAGTTTTACGGCATTTGAAACACAATAGGTTGTATAAGTGCCGTAGATTAGATGTATTACAAGAGAATTGAATACAAAGAAAAGAAGGAAGAGACTAGAGATACTGATGATAGATGTCTGATAGGGGGAAAAAGAGCAAACCACACCAGAGAGCCCACCAAACCATCCTCCCTGCGAGGTTAAAGACGGGGTAATTAGATGAGATACAGATTAATAGATAGATAGATAGACAGATAGATAGATACATAGATAGATAGATATTGCTAGAGAAGGGGAATAAGGGAGTTGAGATAATAATATAATAACCGGGAGAAGGAAGAAGGGGAGGGGGGAGGTGTTGTTGCATGAATGTATGGTTTAAGGCGGAAGAGGGAAAAGGTTACTTATATAATCGATTAATAGATCTATCGATTGATTTATCCGTTATTGATTAATGAATTTGTATGACAACAACAGCAAATAAATGAGACAACTGCACAACTGCTGCCATCACTACCCACTTCCGATGGGGGATGCGTGTAGGTTCAGATTTCTGGAAATCCCCGAAATCTGGGTCAGCCCGTTTGTCCTTAAAAGCGACCAATTACGAAAACATGTGGTGTGTACCTGGCAACTGTCAGTGTTGGTGCTCCGAGGGCTTTGGCAAATGGAGCCCGCGGGGCGAATTCCAGTCAGGCCAAGTTTGGTAGTCAGGACGTCGCAGGCAGTCTTCGATGTGAGCTGGATATTGCCAAGTAGAAGGTTATCATCTATCCCTGAGCAGCGAGAGAAAACAATAACTCCTTTGTGAAGGTGGGTTGGTTTTCTTAGGGTTTTTGTTTGGCTGGGTTTTTTAAAGTTATTTATTTATTTATTTATTTTGGCTGGGTGTGGTGGTTTGTTTTGTTTTGGTTAATTTTTTAATTTTTTTTTTTACCTCAGCCTGAAATAATGTTTAAATCTACAAGACAGGATATTGTTGTAAGATGTTGCTTAGAAAATATTGAGGAAAGTATATGGACTAGATTTGCATTCATGTCGGCGCTTTCCACTTTTTAAAGTTAATCAAAACTTCATATTAATTGTGAAAACAGCTAGAACATAGATTCGACAAACGCACTGTTGCAACCCAAACGAATCTGTTATGCATTATTCAGCCACAGGCTCGATGCTCAGCTGTGTAACCAATATTTCCGGCTTTCTTTGACCTTTCCGAAACAAGGAATAATTTGTTGATCGATCAGACAATCACCCCCCTCACCATCTCCCCTCTAAACCCAAAATCCCATTAAATCCAACGTCCCAAATTAAAAACAACCCATTGACAACTCGCTACCTTAGAATTACACATTTCTATTTGACATTGTTGTTGTTATGAGTTACTACTAAGACCATGAGATCAGAAACGAAATGCTCTATCAGCTCTATCGAAGTCGTAAGGTTTTTCAGAGTCGTTATCAAGATATTTTTAAAAAACCTGACATGTTGTGAACTCAATTTTTGTAAGTCAAATTTTCAAAAGTAGATACTGAATAGATAGAACTTTGTAATTCTAGGGAAATTAAGCTAATTGTTCAGGTGACGTTACCTGTGAAGTCAGCTTTGTTGAAGCCCCAACCAAGCATAACGCACTGATCGTAAGATGCACAGTCATTGGCTGCTTCCTCTTCCGTTGGCAGACATACGATTCCGGAGCAGCTTCCAGTGATTGGCCGGCTGAGGTGGAGCAAAGCGGTGCCATTGCCTGCCGGAAGAGGAATGATCATGGCGGATGATTTGCGACGTTGCCACAAAGTAAGACGTGTATAAAAACATAGAAAGTAAAGTGTTATTCTCCGATATACAAAGCATCACCTCCAACACATGCAAATTATTGAACAGCGTTTCTCACTTGCCTTCTACGTTTGTTCCAAAGTGATATGTTTCTCGAGTGAATCATGGCGTTTGATACGTCCAAAGTTCAGCTTAAGTTTCAAAACGATCTGAAGGAGTGTTGGCATTTCTTTTTAGAAGTTTGCCAATAGTCAGGGACACAAATTAACGGGTACACAGGGGAGTAAGTACTATCAGGGCGCAGCATACGCCAGATCGTTGATGTCTCCAAGTAGGACGAATAAGGTGGGCTTTCGGGATTTGTGGAGGGGGGGGGGGGGTAAATAGATTTATTGCACACCAACAGATAGTGGTACTCCCCAAAACGTAAGGCATTATTGAAACGCATGACACTTGGCGAATTAAATCGCAAACTCAAGATACAGAAGCGTTGAGTTCAATTCACAAGAAGGGCTTGTGTGTGGGTGGGGGGGGTGGCGGGTGGCTTGGTTATCCATGATATTTTGCTGGAATTTTGCATCCCACTCGGACCGGGCTGACTTTGACAAGCAGGGAGGATGCTGCCAACCTCCTACATAATCTAAATTATTTGAAGGGGACGTAAAATATTTACAATCGGTCCGTAACTCTCCCCACCAAACCACGTCGTCCCCCGCCTTCGAAAAAGCACATCTATTAAATCCTTGTATACAAAGAAAACAGCTCACATCTACTAGACAGATCAGTGGACGTTGTTAGCTCAACTGGTATCATTGTGGAATGCGGAGCAGATGGCTCTGTTCCGAATACCCTGCTGGAGTTCTGAACATGGGTTGCTTTGGAGGAGTTTTTAAAACATTTCACCCATTTGGTTCAGTCCCATCGGGGATTAACACTGAATTTGGAGGTCCCGAATCTTATAATAATACTGACAACAACAACAACAACAACAACAACAACAACAACAACAACAATAACAACTACTACTACTACTACTACTACTACTACTACTACTACTACTACTACTACTACGACTACTACTATAACAACAAGGAGAAGAAGACGAAGAAAATAGAATGCATTTATTTAGCGTTCTACAGTCTACCCCATCGAAGTATACACTCAGAGCCCTTGAAAAACCTTATAGGGTTGAAAGGGGCGTTAAACGTATACGACTTCTCAAGACAACTCACTGTTCACAGCCTTTGCTGTCTGAAGTACTCGGACCAGCGACGCCTGAGACCTGTACGGGTAGTCGGGGTGGAAATACGCGGCGTCTATGTTGATGAGTTGCTCCTGCTGGGCGCCAGTCAAAGGATCGATGTCGATACCACTCACGTTGTACTCTCCTGCCACAACCAAGATTCGATTCGGGGCCTCTGATATCGACTGGCCAGCGCTGAGGAGAAAAGAGTCTGTCTATTACAGTTGAACCGGTGATTATGAGAGTGAAATGTGACATGGTATGGGTTTATCTACGCATGAGGAGAGACCTCTGAGTTTAACGTCCATCGCCAGAAGGACGGAGCCAAATAGGAAATTCGTGTAACTTTCCTTTCCAGAGGACACTACATCCGACCGAACTGAGGCTACAAGTCCCGAACCCGCAATCTCACGAGCACGGGCCCGGTAGCCTAACCACAATGTTAAACACACCCCGCAAAACGAGAGTGATGTAACTTCACTTCAAATTATTATGTGAAAATGTGATACTCAGCTCTCAGTAAAAATAGAATTAGCCGATGAATAGAATGTCTGTTTTAACCAAGAAAAAATTCGACACTGTAACCGCTTATTAGTTAGAACTCGTTAGACTGAGAGATGTGAGTAATTGAGAAGGTTTTATGCTATGCTGATGCTAGGTCAGTTTTGACCCCAACTGGATCATAGATTTTACGCTACAAAATGGTTTACTTAGCCAAAAAATACGTCCGCGTCTGTACGCACGTATTCTCAGATGGTGCCACAGTCGCTGTTTTGAGGCTCTATTTCGTTTCTCGGGAAGAAGAATAGGAAAAGCATCCCCTTGAAGATCGACTGTTCTTTGGTCTACGATCAGCTGTTCGCAAAGTACGCACTTATTCTCCGGGGAGCGCCATCGTGATATTGAGAACGTTTTTTTTAATAGGCTCAAAGATAGAAATCAGCCATATTGTAGTGTATTATCTTTGGCTGAATACAGGTCACTCTTAGTCTGGACTTTGATGATGTTAAAAGACAGTATATTCAGTATCGTAAAATGTTCAGGAGAGCCAAAAAGAAAAGAAAAGAAAAAAACAAACCCAAAAACCACAACAACAAACAAACACAGAAATTTAAAAAATAATAAATAAAAAACGCATCTTTGCCTCTCAACCAACGAGGTTGTAAAAAGACCAGCAAAAACTGCATAAAACAACAACACTCATTTAAATCATTCCTCACAAGATACAACAGCTACAACACATTTAACTGTACAGTTGAACAACTGCTTTCCTC